TCTTCCATTCATAGCATCACTGTGATAATCAAGTGAGATAATATTTGTAAAGCTCTTTGCAAACCTTAAGACACTACATGGCAGCTTTTATTATTGTTGTAGTTGTTAATAACATACTATAAAATAGGACAATCAAGGATAAAAATGGAGCAGAGAGTCACTAAAGGAAGCCAAGGGAGCAGTTGCTAGCTTATATCTGAGATAGGCTAATGATTACATTTGAGCACTGAATTAGGCTTTAGGTTTTCAGGTAATGAGGGGAAAAAAAAGGACTCAGCTACATAGTTTTCATTGTTTAACAGTAGAAAAGAAGCAACATACATTCATTTTCAGAGGTGTTGGTTTTTTTTTTTTGTCCTGAATTTACAGGCAGAAATTTACTTCAGATCTGTAGCTGTAATTTTGCAAAAGATATGGGAACTCTGTTCAAATGGCTTCCTCTTATGTTGACATTCATTCTTCATTTCTTAATAGGGGCTTGCCTATAATGACTAAAGCAAGGGAGCTACCCTGTCTGACCTAATTTGCCCATAATGGGTGGGTTAAGGGAGACTACTATTCATTGGAGAAAGACCCAAGACGTCAGAATCCAGTGAGATTGGTGCCTAGAGGCAGAGATTGGTAAAAGATAAATTGAAGAGGTTGAAGGCAAGACAAAGACTGCCTCTTTCACTGACTTGGAAGACAGCCTTTGGCTATATTGAAAAGAAAAAGGTGGGGCTGTGAGAGTGCATCTGGCATGACATCTCTGTACCTATGAGTCCCAGGAGAAAATCTTGTAGCTATGGATGAAGCAGGGTCAATGGCTACACTGGAGAGTTATCCACAGGCACCATAGTGGCTACCAAAACCAAGCAAAGGGGAGGTGCAGGGATGGGGGTGGGTTTTTTCTTTTTCTTTCTTTCTTTTTTTTTTTGACTAGGCAATGGGGTTAAGTGACTTGCCCAAGGTCACACAGTTAGTAAGTGTTATGTGTCTGAGGTCAGATTTGAACTCAGGTCCTCCTGAATCCAGGGCTGGTGCTCTACCCACTTCACCACCTAGCCGCTCCGTGGGTTTTTTTCTTAATCTCATCTGCTCCTACATAGGAGAGATTGTTTTCTAATTCCTCCATTTGTTTCTCTAGCTGTTACTTTTTCACAGAGGGTTGTTCCCTTGCACCAATTTTACACTTGAAAGGGAAGAGAAGGGTGGAAAACTGAGGATGACTCTGTGACTTGTTTACTCTCCTTCATGAGTTCTTTTCTATTGTCTTTTAATTTAGTACTTTCCTGTTTGAGTTGTGGTTCCTCCAGAGTCTGTGAGTAGACACTGTTCAGCAGTGTCTACTTTGCTTTGTATCATTTGTATGATTAGTATCTTTCTAAACTCAAAGGTAAATGTAACCTCAGAGATAATCTGTGGTGCCTGGTTGGAATTTATCACACATTTGTATATTTATTCTCAATAATCTATAAAGCTAATCATGAACGCTGCTCTGAGTGCCATTTGTGCATCTCCACCTACCTGGCTGAAATCATCACCTGCATATTCTCTGGCCATCTCGAACTCACTGCATCCATAAACCAATTAATCACTCCCTGCCTGTCCCTTACTCCATGTTAACCATTTCTGTCAATGGCACCACTGAAGTCCCATTTACCCAGGCTTAGATTCTGAAAGTTTTTTTTTCTCTTCCTTCTCACTTACACTCTACATCCAGTCATTTGCCAGGACTTAGTGATTTCACATATTCACATTTGTCCTTGCCTTTTCATTCATACTACCATCACCCTAGTTCAGATCCTAATCACATCTCACTTGTGTTATTATTATAGCTTCCCAGTGCTTTTTTCCCCCTTTAGTCTCTTATCCTGTTCAGTCCATCTTTCACGACACTGCCAAAACAATCTTCCTAATGCTCTAGTAGGCATGCCATTCCTCTGCTCAAAAGCCTTCCATGGCTTCCTAATGCCTATCAGAAAACATACAAACTCCTTGGCTTTACAGCAAAGACCACCCATACGCTGGCTCCAATCTTCTTGTCTATAGTCATGTTTCACATTACTTCTATTCACAGACTCTATGTTTCAGCCAAGCTGGAGTATTGATTATTATTCCTGGATCTGGGTGCGTACTCCCCAACCTCTGTGTATTTGTACAGTTCATCTCCAAGTCTGGATCACACACCTTCAGACCTTTGTGGGTCAAAACCCTTCTCTTTCAAGAAACAGCTCAGGTACTATTTCCTCCATTAAGTCTTTCGTTTTTCCACAAGGTGAAAATGGTCTTTTCCCTTCTTCAGACTTTCTTCTTGAACTTTATCCAAATTCCTCTTGTGCCCCTATCACATTCTAACTTTTATGATACTTACTTGTGCAAAGTAAGTATTATGGGATATAAGGTCATTGAGGGAAAGAATTGTGTCATTTTTAATTTCCATAAAATCACATGATTTTAGAGTTGGAAGAGACCTCAGCATCTATCTAATCCACTGTACAACTGAAAAAGAATCCCTTCCATATACAACCTTCTCTATAAGGGGCCATCTAACCTTTTCCAAAAGACCTCCAATAGGCAAAAATCACCACCTCCCAATCATTGTATTCTGAGAATTTAACATAATGTCTTTCATGTTTATGGGGAAATTGATTTATCATTGGTATAGGGACCTCCTACTGAGAAAATTTCTTCTGCCAGTATAGGTTGTCACTTGCTTTTCCATTTACAATTTTAGAGTATTTCTTGAGGGCACTAAGAGACTAGGACTTGCTCAGGCTTGTCATCAAGTCGTTCAACCCGGGTCTTCTTGACTCTAAGGTTGGCTCTCTATCCATTATTCCACGTTGCTTCTTACCTTTCACATAATAGGTGAAAAATAAATATTTGTTTCATGGATGATGACACCCTATTGTACTAACCTTCGATAAGGGCTGAGTATAGAACATGTATCGTCCCTCAGCAATGGCATTTCAGTAGAGGTATTTCTCTGGGAGAATGAGATATCATGGGTCAGGTACCTGACACCCTTTAAAGAATCTAAGCCTGGGCCTTGTGTCAGCTTTCCAGAACCTCAAACCATCCTTGGAACTGGGCCCAGGGACTTTTCCCTTGATTCCAGATCTTTCTCCCTTGCTAATTTCTTAATTTCATTGATCACTGAGTCCCAACCATGCCCTCTCTTGACCTTGATCCTTCAGCCTGCTTGTCTCCCTGGGTTCAGTGGTCTTCTTCTCTATCTGTTATATTTCTTTTAATTTTGCTATTGGCATTGGCTGCCTAATGAAGCTGACATCCACCTCCTTCTTTCCTTTTGATTTTACTTTTCCTGTCACACATGCTAGTCCACAAGAGTTCATTTTCAAGAGAAAAGTATTTATACAAAATTAAAAATAAATAAAAATAAATAAGTGTAGAGAAATAGATGTAAAGCAAAAATGATACTATGCCAGGCTAGGTGGTACCTAAACTTTCTAACCAAATTATTTAAAATTTCCTGGGCCTAGATGGGCCCTCACAATCCTATTTAGGCATAGAGCTCACAACCATACTCTGCTCCCTTTTCCCAGTCTCCCGAATGATTATATAAATATTAATATATAATATTATAGTAATAATGATAACATGATAATATTATATATTAATATCTAAACATCTTTATGCTAGTTTGGGATTTACCTGGGATGGTACCCTGGCTCAATCACATTTATCTGTTCTAAAATCCTAGGCATACTCTAAGCCAACAAGGAGACCTCTTGGTTTTTGACTGAAATTTTGGCCATTCCACACTCCTTTTCCGCCCTAATCATTGACCATCTAACATCAGTTTTTCCCTCCGACTGAGGAAAAGATAATAGCAAAGTTCATAAAAGACAACTCTTTTCATTATTTTTTCTAACCATATTGGGACAGAGCTTGGTGAAGACAGCCAAATGGAGTGTTCACATGTCATTAGGCTAACTCATGCAAGAACAGTATTAGATGTCTTAAGCATCCCTTTGCCAGAAGCTGGATCACTGTCGATTCATGACTGCATTCTGTAGCAAGTGCCAGGAGTACAGATGTTCCATGATGGGCAAATTGAGAGGTAGGTGCTGTAAGCCATCTGACATAAGGGGAACCAAAAAACTGAAGAGCTAGATTTGTAGCTAAAAGTAAGAAAAGGCAAGTAATTAAATTTCATACCAGCAACTGTTTGGCTAGTGGTATATGTGTTATTCTCCATGTTATGTATCCCCTAAACAACATCATAAAGTTGTGGTAATGAATGGGATTAATACCTCTCTGATCTAAGATAGACACAGCATAGGTCTGGGTCTTTATAAATGGGGAATTTATGGTTACTTCTTAGACTATTTCACTTAAAGAGTCAGAGGCATAGAGAGAATGGGACAGGGGAGAATAAGATTAGATGAAAATCAACTTACGTGGCATTGCCGTCAACTACCGTGTGACGGTAGTCAAGATTCCTAACTTTTCAGAGCCTTCATTTTCTCATTTATAAATGAGGGAGTTGAAGCAGGTGATCTCCAAAGTCCCTTCCAACTCTAAATCCTATGATCCTATGAACTAGGAAGGATGAATTTGGGGGAGGGGAGGGTAAATTTTGGGTTTTAAAGGCTTGACATCAAGAAACTGTTTATTTCCTCCAAATTACCTTGTCTGCAATTAGGGTAAGGTCTTTATTTAAGGCTGTACCAAACCTCCCCTCACTAGGTCTTGCTCCTTAGCTTGTTCCATTTGATGGACATTCCACGTACAAAAAACCAAACCCAATCTAATCAACCACTTCAGATTCCTGGCTGGCACTGAATTGATAATAAAAGAAGAAAAGTTAGGCTCCTTTGGTTTAGTGTTTAACAGATAGGTGGGCAATTCTGGCTAACAGGTAGTAGCTGTATACCTGTAGGTTACATGGTGAGATAAAGGTTCTGAATAATTGTGTGTGTGTGTGTGTGTATAGTGGAAGACCCATGATTTCACTGATTTACAAGATCATAATTCTAGAGCAGGAAAGCAACCTCAGAGTTTATCCAGAGGCCTCGATTTTGTTTTAAATTTACCTATTTATTATTATGAATTTGACAAATACCAACAAACACAAACATTTCCTCATTATAAAGAACAAAAAAGTTGCATCTTCACCATGTACTGCTTGTTTTTTTTAAAAGTATATTTCTAATTTCTGTCTGTGTCCCCTTCTGAATTTCTTCTGCTCTCTTCTGTGTATTTTCAAAAATAATTCATTGACATACTTTTTTCATTTTTTTCTTTTAACATCTCTATTACTACCCACTTGCATAACTCTCACCTCCCCCCAAATAAAAGTCCTCTCTTATAACAAATAGATAATAGTCAAACAAAACAAAGCCACATATTGGCCATGTTTGAAAATGTATGTCTTTTTCTATATCTCTAGGAGGTGGGAAATGTGCTTCATGATTGGTCTTTGCAAGTGATGAATAGTCATTTCATTGACCAGAGTTCTTAACTCCACAGTTTTTTTCCTTTGCAGTATTGTTTTGTTGCATAAATTGTTCTCTTGGTTCTACACACTGTACTTTGCATCAGTTCATGCAAGTCCTACTGGGTTCTTCTGAATCCATCTCTTTATTCATTTCTCATGGCAAAATAATAATAGCTAGCATTTGTACTACCCTTTTTACAAATATGATCTCATTTTATCCTCACAGTAACCCTGGGATGTAGGGGCTATTATTACCTCCCTTTTACAGGTGAGAAAACTGAGGCAGATAGCATTTAAGTGATTTGCCCAGGGTAACTCCTGTAGTGTCTGAGTTTGATCCTAGGTCTTCCTGACTCCAGACCCAGAGCTCTATCCACTGAGCCACCTAGTTGCCCCTAAAATGCCATTATGTTTATATACCACAATTGGTAAAGCTACTCCCTAGTTGATGAATATTCTGTTTCCATTAACAAAAAGTACTACTATAAATATCTATATACATATGGGTCTTTTCCCACTTAAAAAAATCTCTTTGAGGCATGTGTCTAGTAGTGGCATTGCCGGGTCAAAGGACATGAAGAGTTTAGTGACTTTGGGGGCATAATTTCAACTTAAGCCCCTCATTTCACAGATGAGACAACTGACACCAAGAGAAGTTAAATGACTTGCCCAAGGTCACATAGATAGTAAGCATCAGGAGTGGAATTCAGATCTAGTCTTCTTATTCTTGAGCCAGGCTCCTTATACTATGCTAGGCTTCTCCCTGATGTAGATTACACTTTTTTTTTCAGTCTAGTGGATGGTCTTCATGATTTACAGAGTTGGAAAAAAATTTATTATGATGGACACTCTTTTGAGTTTAGGCCTTTCTGCCTTAGCTAGGCTGATTTTTGGATTAGAAATGGATTCCATCACCAGGCCTGTACTTTCTAGCTTTGAAAGATCCATCTGAGTTCATGTCTTGCTGCAAAGCCTTTGAGAACACATTGCTACTATTCTGAAACATCACATTACTGGGAGAATTTTTTCCTAAACTTAATTATTTTTAGGAACAACAAATGTTTCTGGGGATTGATACACTTTTGATAAATCACTTGAATAAAGAGTAAAGAGATTTCTGTTTGCTTATCTCTTTTATAGCAACATGGAAGTGTATACTGGAAAAGAGGGGCCTGCCAAACTCTGAGGAATTTATCTCCTGATCTTCCTTTACACCAGCAATTAAAGGTAAATACCTCATCAGCCGGGTTCCCTCCCTTCTTTCTGCTCTTTGCTCTGCTTCATTTTATGGGCCAGGGTGAGAGGGATAACAACCGATGCCTTTTATCCACTGCTGATAGGAAAAGAGCATGGCGAATGCTGCAAAAGTGCCATTTTAGGCGTTGTTGCATATGCGGAGCCCGTTTTATAGCAGCTTTTAAATGAGTTTATTGGTCTGCCAGTTAACTGGTCCTATAATGCAATTACAAGGAACTTGAGAGATCTTATTTCCCCTGTAACTCAAGGTAATTGTTATTGGACTTATTTATAGAGATGATATAGAAATGACTATAAAATATGTAGCTTCCCTTTCTCATAGTAAATGTGGACTATGTAAACTTGGAGCGGTCTCTGCTTTGTGGACACGGTGTTATATTGTTATAGTGTGGACACAGTTGAGTATGTGGTTCAGTTCCAGAAGGAGGTGAAGGTACAAAAGTTCAACAACATCATATGGTTATCATTGGCATCAGCATTTGTTCCCCTCTCGATTGGAACAGTGAATTTCTTCTTATCTTGGCCTAGTAGGGGGAGTCCTGAAATTTTAAAGCCTTCTTCAGTCTCCTCGAAACATCAGAGATGATTGACCATTGGCTTTTTAAAATTCATGTATTATGGTGTAGTAGGAAAAGCCTTTGGTGAGAAGTCAAAAGACTTTAGGTTCTAGCTCTGGCTTTGCCACTCAAAACACTCAAACACAGCCTAATTGCTCAGTGAAGGGTTTGGGATCATGTTTCTATTTGTTTTTTGGGGAGTCCACTTATTTGTTGTTTTTTGTTTTGGGAGGGTTGATGTAGGAGTCATTTACACAGAGCTAAAGATGGAAAAGAAGAGGGCTGGTCATTGAATCTTGTGAAATGTCTCTAGACCATGGGAGGGTAGGGAGGAGCCATTGAAGACAAAGGGCAGTTAGAGAGAGAGGTAGGAGCCAAGAAGCCAAGAAGAAAAGAAGATTTCATAGAGTATTAGAACCATAGACCAGTAGAGCTCAAAGGGAACCTAGGGGACATCCTATGGAATCTCTCCATTATTCCAGGAAGGAAGCTCAGGCTCAGGGAGGGAAATGACTTGCTTAAGGGTTACTCGATGAGCAAGTGTCAAAGGTGGGGCTAGACCAAGGGTCTTTTGACCACCTTCCAGTTCTCTCCTCTAGGAACATTACCATTTTTTGAGTGCCTGTCATCCAAAGAACTTAGGGAGGTATTGTATGTCCTAAACTCGAACCTATGAAATGGCCCAGGCCTTTTATCTAATTGTTGACAGACACCCTTACTGAGATGGTTTCCTTCAAAAGACTTGTACCTTTGATCTAATTGTCACAATCATTTCATTTGTGGTTTCTTTTTCTTCAGTCCTCTTTCTCACTCTCTGACTGCCCCATCTGGATGGACTCTAGCACCACATTGGAATGCTGCAACTTGGAGAAGGCTGTTAAAGGAGCCCAGAATCTCAGTGATATCACTGGGTCCCGGGCCTATGAGGTAGGCACAGCATGGCATGGTGACAGACTGGTCTCTATAAGTGGCTCCTATGACCTTAGGATCAGTAATCAATGGCCTTATGGGGATCAATGGATCAATGTGGATCAATGACCTTAGGAGCAGGGGGATGTCAAAACAAGTGAAAGAAGGTTAGTAGGAATAGAACACTGCCAAAGGAAGGGAGGATGCCAGTTCTATTTGCCATCAGTACAAAGAGGCTCATCATTTGGGTCTGCAAAGAGCAAAAAATATCAGAGGGACGTGGGATCCTAGAGCTGATAGGGACCTTAGTGAACACCTAGCCCAACCACCACTTTTTAACAGATGAGAAAACTGGCTTCTTCCGGGTCACATTGTATATTGCTTATTATCACCCAACACTTTGAGCCCTGGCCCTTTAAATTCTTAGCTGTCTAGGAAGAAGGTTTATTCATTCCCTTCTGCTGTAGCTCTTAGGGAGCTAGGTGGTGTGGTGGATGGTATACTGGGCCTGCAGGCAAGAAGACCTGAGTTCAAATCCAACCTCAGATATTTACCAATTGTGTGATGCTGGGCAAGTCATTTAACCTCTGTCTGCCTCTTAACTTCTGTTTGCCTATTTCCTCCATTGTAAAATGGGGATAATAATAGTGCCTAACTCACAGGGTTGTTGTGAGGATCAAATGATATATTTACTAAGCTCCTGGCACACAGTAGGTGCTATATGGACTTCAGCTATTATCGTTAGTGGCCCTCATTCGCTGTTTTGTGATCTCTGAGGAGCCCCTAAGCACACATCTTCACTTTGATGACACAGCATCCCTTGCCACCCTTTCCAGGTATTGGCTGCACCTTTACTCATTCTCCTCGGCTCACTGGTTGAAAGTAGGAGCTTCAGAATACTCCTTGTTCCCCATTGTCACTTCCAGGTTCTCCTTTCCTCCATCAGTTGTTAACTTCTCTTTCTTTGAGGTTCATGCTGTTCATAGCTATCACCTAATCAAAATCCTGATAGTTGTTATCTACAGATTCCCAGTTCACTCCTTTTCCTTCTTCAATGAGTCTGATACCAGGCTTACAATTTTCCTCTCCTACCCTACTTTTGCCCTCAACCTAGGGGCCTTCAAAATACATATGATCTTTCTCATGTACCCTAACCATTCAGTTCCTCAACCTATTCACTTTCCATGAGCTACTACTCATCCACTCCACCTCAGCTATACACAGAGACGGCCATGCCCTTGATCTTACCTTCACCCATGAATATTCCCCCTCTATATTCATGAATTCTGAAATCCTCTTGTCCAACCATAGTCTATTGGCTTTTCACCTCTTCCTCTGCCTTACAAAATCCTATTTTTCATGCATACTGTGACCTCTAATTGACCCCTCAATTCTCTTCCAGGCCATCTCCACTGTGCTAGCCTTTCTTTCCTCTTCTCCACATCTCTACTCCTTGGTGAACCAATTCAACTCTATACTGTCCTCCTCTCTCGGGTCCCTAGCCCCCTTCTCACATCACCAATTATGTCCATCCAACTCTTAGCCTTGGATCACTCTTACCATTTGTTGCCTTTGCTCCTACACACATGTTACTGAATGAAGGTGGTGAATACCCCAGGGTCCACTATAAATTTATGTAGAGTAGCCTCAACTGGGCCCTCACTACTGCTAGGCAATCCTACTATATCTCCCATATCAACTCCCATATCAACCACTCTCCACAATGGCCCTTTTCATCTCTCCTCATACCTCCGGTGGTGCTCTCTTCCCCCACTCTCTCAGCTGAGAACTTTGCCTTATACTTTATAGGAAAAAATCTGTAAAATTTGCTGTGAACTTTCCTCTTGTCCCCTATTCCTCATCTCCTATCACTCAGGTATCTTCTGCCATTCTCTGCTCCTTCACCCCATCTCACACGATGAAGTGGCCTTACTCCTTACCAAGACTAACCCCTCTCCTTGTTCAAGCAATGCCATTCCTCCACCTGATTGCCCCCTCTGTCATCACCACTCTTTCACTTATTTTCAGTCTTTCCCCTTCTCCTGGCTCCTTTCCTACTGCCTATAAGCAAGCCCATGTCTCCCCCATCCTGAAAAAACCCATATTTGATCCCTGCTTACTATCATCCTATATCTCTTCTGCCCTTTGTAGCTAAACTCCTAGAAAAAGGCTGTCTACAATAGGTACCTCCACTTTCTCTCCTCTCACTCTTATCTTAACGCCTTACAATCTGGCTTATGACATTATCATTCACTAAAAGTGTTCCCTCCAAAGTTGCTATTGATCCCAGTTGCCAAATCCAATGGCCTTTTCTCCATCCTCATTCTCCTTGACCTCTCTGCAGCCTTTGGCACTGTTGATCACTGTCTCCTCCTTGATACTCCCTTCTCTCTGGTTTTTTGAGACACCATTCTCTCCTGGTTTCCCTCCTACCTCTCTGACTGCTCCTACCTTCTCTGTCTCCTTTGCTGGATCCACCTCCACATCACACCCTGTAACCAGAGGTATCCCTCATGGTTCTGCCTGGATCCTCTTCTCTTCTTCCTCCATACTATTTCGTTTGGTGGTCTCATCAGCTCCCATGAGTTTAATTTCCATTTCTATGCTGATGATTCTCAAATCCACCTATCCTGCCTCAATCTCTATGCTGACCTACAATCTCGAATTTCCAACTGCCTTTCTGACATCTTGAACTGGATGTCTAGTAGACATCTTAACTCAACAAAACTGAACTTATTTTCTTTTCCCCCAAATCCCCATCCCTCCACTCCTACCTTCCCTATTACTGGAGAGGGCAACACCATCCTCCCAGTCCCTCAGGCTCTCAATCTAGGGGTTGTCCTTGACTCTTCTACACTATCCCTCATCTTCCATATTCAAGTTGTTGCCAAGGCCTGCCAACTTCACCTTTGCATCATCTCTTAAATATGCCCCCGTCTCTCCTCTGACAATGCTCCTACCATAGTACAGACCCTTATCACCTTATACCTGGATGATTATAATGGCCTGCTGGTGGGTCTGCCTGTCTCAAGTCTCTCCCAATTTGAAAGTGTCCTCCATTCATCTACTGAAGTGATAATCCTAAAGCACAGGTGCACTCATATCACTCTCCTACTGAATAAACTTCCGTGGCTCCCTATTGCCTGCAGAAGAGAGTATAAAATGCTCTACTTGGCATTCAAATCCCATTACCTAGCTGCCTCCTACCTTTCCAATCTTCTTAGACCTTACTCCCCAACACATACTTTTCAATCCAGTGACACTGCCCTCCTGTCTGCTCCATGAATAAGACACTCCTATCTAGCATCTCTGGGCATTTCCTGTGGCTGTCCCCCATACTTGGAATGCTCTCCCTCTTCTGCTCTAACAACTGATCTCCCTGGCTTCCTTTAAGTCCCAACTAAAATCCTATATTCTACAGCAAGCCTTCCCCAACCCCTCTTAATTCTAGTGCCTTCCTTCTTTTAATTATTTCCTATTTATCTTATATATAGCTTGACTTGTATAGGTTTGTTTGTATGTTGTCTTTCATTTTGGATTGCAAGCTCCTTGAGGGTAAGGACTGTCTTTTGCCATTTTTTGTAACCTCAGTGCATAGCATAGTACCTGGCACATAGTAGGTAGTTACTTAATAAATATTTATTGATTGCTGCGGTTATTGTTTGTCTTTTGTTCTCAAAGATGACCATGACATCAGGAAGGTAATGCCATGACTTGCAAGTGAATTGGATTTAAGTGAGGGAGGGCTGTGCAAAGTCACCAGCCTCACTTCTCCTCCAGAGCCACCTGGGTCCAGTGGCAAGATGTAGATAAGGATGACTGGAGATGGCCCCACTTGAATGCATTTATGTGACCATTGAATCCCTGTATAGATAGCTGCTTTGTTTGTATTTACCATTCCTGTTAATCAATAAGTTCTAGTCACTAACCAATGACCCCAGTATAAATGCTCCCTTACCTAGACCTCTGATGATGTTTAGGATACCCTAGAAGTAAACAACCTCAGCCAAGATCCCTGCCAGGATACTCAGGATATAAGTGCTCCTGCCTAGCCCCATTGAGGGATGTTTAGGAAACTCTGAAGGCAAATGCTGTTTTTTAAATAGAACTCCCAAATTCAATTAAGGTGTCCAGTTCCTTTGTAGGCACTAAACTGTTTACTCAGAGCAGTGCTAGTAAGGAGGTGGTCACCTGGAGATTACTCTGCAGATTACCTAGAGTATCTCGACTTGCTGATAGGAAGCTATGGTTCATAGACTCAGACATGTAGAGATTTCAAAGGTCACCTAGTCTATGTCAACCCTACCATTTTATAGTTGAGAAAACTGAGGTTGAGGTTAAATGGAATGCTCATGACATTGTATAACCTGTACTGGATTGCTTACCATCTCAGGAGAAGAGGCAAAGAAGAATAGAATTTGGAACTCAAAACTTTAAAAAAAGTTTTTTAACATGTAACTGGGGGAAATTTATACATATATACATATCTAATATCCATATACAGGCTTGCATGTATGTACAAATGTATATGGAATACTCAGGATCAGTCAGGTGGAAAGCATCAGAGGTGGAATGTAAATTCAGGTCCTCTCACTACAGAGCCAGTGTTCTTTCCACTGGACCACATGAAGTCTTTTTGGGGGATACTCTGCTCCTTCTTTGTTTCTGTCAGTTTAACACTGGGCCTTTAATTTGCAAAGCCTGAGGAGATAAGAACACACTTCTCTTTATATTTCTAGATTAGCCAGCTTTCTGTTCTTTTGTAATAGTTAACATTTATGTAGTTCTTTAAGGTTTGCAAAAAGCTATACACATGTTCCCATTTGATCCTTATGAAAACTCTTTGAGGGAAGTGCTATTACTATTCCTATTTTACAGACAAGGAAACTGAGGCTGACAGAGGTTAAGTGACTTGCCCAGAGTGATACAGCCAGCTAGTAAGTATCTGAGACTGGATTTGAACTCAGGTCTTCCTGACTCCAGGTCTAGCCCTCTATTTATTATACCACCTAGCTGACACAAGTTAATTTATTTTTGTGGGTAGAGGGGCTACCCCTTTTTTTGTGTCCATAAGTATGGCAGTGTCTCCTTGTTAAACAGAATGCATGCTCTGGTTCAGCTAGGTTATCACAAACTCTCTTTAAGCATCTGAGGAAGTCTTGTTTATTCTTCCTCGAAGGAATTGGCACTTCTTTAAAACAGGTTAAGTAACTTATGTTTGAATACCTGTAGGACTGAGAATCTGTGTCTTAAAAAGGTGCTGTGCTTTCTGCATTTTTTTGCATATTTTTTCCCTTTGGGTCTGTATCTTCTTTCACAACATGACTAATATGGTAATATGTTTTGCATGATTGAACATGTATAGCCTATATCAAATTGCTTACTGTCTCAGGGAGGAGGGTGGTGAGGGAGAGAAAGAAAAAATTTGGAACTTAAAATTTTTAAAAAATGAAGGTTAAAAATTGTCTGTACATGTAACTGGGGAAAAATAATTTTTAAGAAGGTGCTATGGTTATCTTTGGATTGATGATATCCCTTCACCATTCTACTGAGCCACATATGTTGGTTGGTAAGGCTCTTTTCAGGAATCAGAGACAGCCACTGAACTGTCTTGGGTTTGGGGCAGGTAGTAAGTGTGATTCATTCCATAGAACTGTCATTTCTGAGGTATGCATTGCGAAACGTGATGCTCATTCTCAGTCTTCCTTTTTCCATCACAGGAGCATGCATGACTGTCTGCTTAGTGTCAATTATCTGCTGGGGGCCAGTTTCCATTGCACATCAGACAAATTAAGCATCAAGAGTGCATTGGACTGAACTCATTACATAGAGTTAATGATTATTGACTCTTCTCTTCTAAACACTTGCATTTCTTTCTCAGCGTTTTACAGGAAACCAGATAGCAAAGATTTTCAAGGAGAATCCCGATGCCTACTCACAAACCGAGGTTGGTTCAACATCCATGTCTTTTATTGAAAGGCACTAATGAAAACCCTTCTGTCCTATTTATCTTTAGAAAAAAATGCATGCCAAACATAGGTGCTAAAAATAGTCACTTGCAAAAATGAAAATGCTATTTAGTGGCTAATAGCACATCCTCTGTATAACTTTTCTTCATTTCCACAAGCATTGTTAAAGCAGTTACTATTTAGTGCCGGGCTGGGATCTGGGGATACACAGACGAAAAAGGAAACATCCCCCTGTCCTCAAAGAATTGACTTTTTATGTTGTGTGGCAAAGTAGACTAGAGAAGGTGTAAAATTCAACAACATTTTGCACTTATGTTTATGATTATGATTACAGAGCAGTTTTGTAGACATGACCTCACTTGATCCTAACAATTCTGTGGCATAGACATGGATGTCACCATCAAGGTCATGGAAGACCCATACTTGAACTCTTCCAAATCCAGCATACTCTTCTTCACCCATCATAGGTGTTGGCTTTGTTACGCAGAGCAGGGCAGTTGTGACAATACCAGATCTGGAGATCTGGGGTCCTGTTCTTTATATATTATCATATCATCATAGCTAAAGAGCTTGAAGAGACCCTGGAGGGGTTCTTAATCTGGGCTCCATGGACCCTCCAAAAGGTCCATGGATTGATTTCAGTGGGTCTAAGAACTTGGATGAGAAAAAAAATGACCTCTTTATTTTGATATAACTGGGGTTGTTTTTGTAATTTCTTTTGTAATGTATTTTGTTTTATACATTTAAAATTATTTCTGAAATGAAAAAAATTATTCTAAAAAGGGATCCAAATGCTTCACCTGAACTCCAGGGGGGCCCATGAACAAAAAAGTGAACAGTTTCTGATCTAGTCTAACTCCTTCATTTCAGGGATGAAGAAACTGAGGCCCAGAAACCCCTTTGCTCAGAGTCATACAGGTAGTAAGTGGCAGAGCAGAGATTCACATCCAGGTCATTTCCAAATCCAGCCATTTTTCCAATGTGCCGTTTAGTCTTCATTCATGTTACTTATTCTTATGAATGACCCATCAATGCCCAGCATGAGGCAGTTAGGTGGCACAGTAAATACCGGGCTGGATCTAGAGTCAGGAAGGACTTGAATTCAAATCTGGCTTCAGACACTCACTAGCTGTATCACTTTGAACAAATCAATTAACCTCTGTTGGCCTTGGTTTCCTCAGAGGTAAAATGGGGATAATATTAGCACTATTTCCTAGGATTATTGAAAAGACAAAATGAGGTAATATTTTTAAAGCCAATTTGCCTGGCTCATAGTAGGCTCTTAATAAATTCTCCTTTCCTTTTCCTTTCCCCTTTCCTCTTTCCTTTCCCCTTTCCTCATTCCTTTTCTTTTCTCTCCTGTCCTCTCCTCTCCTGTCCTCTCCTCTCCTGTCCTCTCCTTTCTTCTCCTCTCCTTTCCTGTCCTCTCTTCTCCTCACCTGTCCTGTCCTGTCCTCTCCTCTCCTCTCCTGTCCTCTCTTCTCCTCTTCTTTCCTTTCCTTTCCCTTCCCACTGAATAGGGCCATCTCAGTTAGCTCTTCATTGAAAGCTTGAAAGAAACTATGTCTTGAATCTCCAAAAACCTTATCCACACCCTTCCTCACTGTGGTGTAGACAGAGCCAGAAGCCCAGCTAAACTGCTAGACCTGCAGTAGCTAAAATCAGGCACTTAAAAGTTGCATATGAATCAGCTCAACACATTTCCTAGTTATTTTGATCTCTAAGTCATAATTATAAAATGATTAGCTCATTTCAAACCAAAGTGCCTTTTTAATCTTCAAAATTAACATAGAGTTTATTATTTAACTATTCAGGATGACAGACTGCTCTTCTGAATTAGTTGGTAACTTATGCTTTGGGAAAAGGTGCCAAACCTTCTAAATTCTGTGTCGAGAGCTGAGGTGGGCTTTGTGGGGAGTAAAGGGAAGGAATACTACTGTCTGTCACAAATCTGAGCATCCTCATAGGACCATATAGCATAGAAAGTCATTACACCAGCATTTGAAATAAAGGAGTTTTGTGCGTGTGTGTGTGTGTGTGTGTGAGAGAGAGAGAGAGAGAGACAGAGACAGAGACAGAGACAGAGACAGAGACAGACAGAGAGATGGAGATAGATAGATAGATAGATAGAGAGATTGTTATTTCTTTAGAAATTCCATAGAAGTGATAGTGTGAATTTTGTCTCAATCAGGATTTGTTAAGTACTTGTTCTGCTCTAGTCTCTGTCCTAATCCCTGGGGATACAAGGGAAAAAAAAACAAATATAAGTTCCTGCCCTCAAGAAGTTTACATTCTAATGGGGGAAGCAATGAGGAAATTGATTGCTATAGGCAGGACACATCTGGAATAGATGAAAGGTAGTCTCAGAGGGAAGGTGCCAACACCTGGGGAGCCTAGGAAAAGCTTCCTAAAGAAGGTGACTTCCAGGGGCAGCTAAGTGGTGCAGTGGATAGAGCACCGGCCCTGGATTCAGGAGGACCTGAGTTCAAATTCGACCTCAGACACATAACACTTACTAGCTGTGTGACCCTGGGCAAGTCACTTAACCCATTAAATAGCCAAAAAAAAAAAGGAAAAAAAAAGAAGGTGGCTTCTGAGCTGAATCTCGAAGGAAACCAGGGGTCCTAAAAGGTTAAGGCAAAGAGAGAGCACCTTCTACGCACAGATGACAGCCTGTGCAAAGTGTTTGCTATGAATTTAGTGGATGTTCATCCTGTGTCCCTAGAAGTCTCTCATTACCAGATTTAAAGCGGGTTGCACAGAGGAGAGATGTTGTGAAACAGGAGAGCCAACAGCCATTGAGAGATGGAACCTGATAGGAAAATCACCTTCCCTTTCTCAATAACTTGTTTTAATTGAACTTGGCAGCGTGATAAAGTCAGGAAACTGAAGGGATTGGTGTCTTTCCAAGCTTCAAAGACCTTACTGGTTTTCCTCCCAGGACTCCCTTGTCTGCTGTTTGATATGCCTTGAAGTGTTCTCATCCATAAGACTAAGGGCTGGCATCGCTTGGGATTTTTGCTAAGGGGTCAAAGGTGGCACTTGGTAATTTTAGGTCCTTCACGTTTGAATGATGTTTTTTAAAATGTTTGCTTGAAAAGAAAAGAAAATGTTCACTTGCTCAAGGTTAGGTCTGGTGATGAGTCACCCTTCATTGTGCTGTTTCTCTTACAGAGAATCGCTTTGGTTAGTAGCTTTGCAGCTTCCCTTTTCCTTGGATCCTATACACCCATTGATTACAGTGATGGTAAGTGAGTCTATTGTCTGTGGGAATGTATGTTTTGTGCTGTATTGCATGTGTTAAGTATGCTTTGTATGCTCAGACTACATATGTGTTATATATTATGGCATTCACGTGTCTTATTTTATGGGTACAAGGATGTCTGTGTAATAGCGTGTCGGAAGCCTTGGTAGATTAGGTGGCCACCACTAATATGTAGACTTCTTATAGTTTTTTGTTGTAGTTTATATCTGATTGTTTTGGAAGGATGGAAGTATTTAAATTCATAATCCTCTTGTATTTCCAATATACAAGCTCGAAGTTTTTTCAAGTGCTAATTTTATGTGGGTGGTTCAGTATCTCATGCTACACTCATTGCTACCCACACTGAAGGCTGTATTATGCCCTGATCAGATCACACGGGGAAGAAATGTTGCATTCAGGTCTGGTGCTGCATTTTAGGAAGGACATTGATTAGGTGGCCAGGGGACATAAGAGGAAAACCAGGATAGAGAAGGGCCTCAAGATCATGATTGACTGAAGGAACTAGAGGTGTTTGGCCCAGAGAACATCATGTCAGAGTGGACATGATGGCTGCATTCAAGTATTTAAAAGCTTGCCATATAAAATAGGAAGTGTACTTGGTTGGAGATGTCCCTGATGGAGTAGGCTGCTTTGGAAGGTAGAAGGTTTCTCTTTACTACAGGTCTTTGAGCCAAGGTGGGATTCCCATTTATCTGGGAGGATGTGGAGGGAATTCTTGTATAGATATATCTTGGGTTGGATGCACTCTGATTTCTCTTCCAACTCTGAGACTCTGGGCTTCTATGTTACATTGGAGACCAGGGAGTTGCCCATCTCTCTAGCTGTACTGTGTTTTTAGTTCATACTGGAGTTGGGGGGACAGAGCAAACATGAGACAAGCCCCAAATAATTTGCCCTAGAGTCTAACCTGAGTTTCTTCTGGGGGGTACCTGTTTTTAAATAAGTAAGAAGGGAAGGGGCAAGAGAGGACAAGAAAGAAGATACAGAGAAATGTATCCTATACAATCATAGTATTATCATTGATGAGCAAGGTGACCCAGACAGAGTATGGAAGAACTATTGCATCCTTATTCCTAGAAGCTATGACTCAATTAATTTAGCCCAAGATGGTGTTGCTTTTTTTAGCTGCCATATCACACTGATAACTCATATTGAGCTTGTATTACATTAACTACCTCCACCCAGATCTTTTTTTCAGACAACCAGCTATCAAACCATGACTCTCTCATCTTGTATTTGTGAAATTGATTGTTTTGACACTTACTTCTATTACATTTCATCTTTTTAGATCTAACCTGTTGTTCTAGCCTGTCAAAATCTTTCTGGATCTTCTTTCTGTCATCTAGTGTGTTAGCTATCCTTCCTTGCTTTTCGTCATCTGTAAATCTGATAAGCATGCCTTCTATCCCTTTAGGGGCTAAATCATTGTTTAAAATGCTAAACAGCACAGGGCCAATCCTGCATCTTGGCCACTATGCGGGAGATCTTCTTCCAAGCTGACGTACCAACATTAATGACCATTTCTTAAATCTGAACAGTCAGCTAGTTCTGTACCCATCTAACTATCCTATTCATCTAACCCACAACACTCCATCTTTTCCATAAGAATAGCATGTGATGCTTTATCAAATGCTTTGCCAAAATCTAGTGAAAGTCTTAACAGCATTCCTCTGACAGATCAGTTTATTAAGCTTGTCAAAAAAGGAAATAAGGTTTGTCTGGCATGACCTTTTCTTGTTAAAGCTATGTTTGCCCATTGTGATCATTGTTTCATTTTCTAGTTGTTCATTAAGCATTTTAAAAATTGAACATTTTAGAATTTCACCAGGAATCAAAGTCAAGTTTGCTGTCAGATCTGAGCAGGCAGAGGCTTTGTCTTATCTAAGCTTTTTATCTCTCCCGTGTCTGGCACAGTGCTTTGAACAGAATCGGTGCTTAATAAATGTTTGTTGAATTGAATGTACTTGTACATGCTGTAAATTATTAATCAGCAGTGAGGGGGGAAAATATTTACTGAATGTCTGCTATGTGCAAGGCTCTGTGAGAGGTGTTGGTGGTTAGGGAAAAGGTATAAAAGATAGCTTCTGCCTTAAAGAGGCTTATCGTCTAATTGAGAAGGTTCCAATCTTGTGTACTGTGCTAGCTGCTTTCCTAGTTGGCTCTCTACAGGCAGCCAGGTGGCACAGTGGATAGAGTGCTGGGTCTGGAATCAGGAAGAGTGGAGTTCAAACCAACCTCAGACACAGCTGTGTGATCCTGGGCAAGTCATTTAACCTCAGCTTCAGTTTCCTCAATTGTAAATGGAAATAATGACAGCATTTACCTCATAAGGATGTGAGATTCCAAAGAGATAATATTTGTAAAGTGCTTAGCACAGTGTCTGGCACATAGTAGGTGCTATACAAATGCTTATTCCCTCTTTTCCTCTCTCAGCATGCCTCGTGGCTCCTCAGATATAGGAGACAATTATTCATGTGTTCATTCATTCAATAGCTATTTTTTCACTATTTATTATCATGCACAAGCCACCATTCTAGACACTGAGGCTACAGAGATAAAACTTTCCTTGAGGAGATTATGGTTGAGTGTGGGAGATGAGCCATACAACCATGATTTCCAAATAAGGAAACTGAGGCCCAGAAAAGTAAAATGGCTTGCTCCAGATCACAAATCTCACTAGTAACAAGTGTTCCTTCACAGTAAATCACCTATCCCAGATCATTTTTAACCATTCTTTGCTGGAAAGTTATAAGTAAGCTTTCCTTAAACAGTCTGTATAGTAAGTGCAATAGAAGTTTAGAAATAATCAAGAAAGGCTTCATAGAGAAGTTTACATTTAAACTGGATCTTGAAGAATGGGTCAGACTTAGAAAGATAGGGGATGAGAGGCAAGGGGCATTTCAGGATAAGGAAACAAAGGATCTCAGCAAAAGCAGAGTATTGAAAAAGCGTAAATAAAATATATTCATCATATACTGAATTATTCTGAGGGTTTGGGAGAATCCAGGAGCTACGTTCTGGGGACTTTGAGGAGATCTCTAACTTTGTTCACTTTAGCATTGCTGGACCTGTTGAAGATTTTTCATTAATATACCACGTGTGTGGTATATTTACTATATGCAAGTATGTATGTAGATGTATGTATGATTCCCTTATCCTATCACTGATCACACCTCATAAAACCCCAGTATTGGATTATTCCTGTATTCCTAATCATGTGCTGCTAAATGGAACTACAGGAAGTTACAAAATTATTTGTGCATACACATTTATACACATACATCTATATACATACACAATGCACACACAATATATACACATATACAATGCATATACATGTGTGCAAATGCACTTATGCATGCATACACATGTACATACATACATATGTTTGTGAATAATCCTTCCTTGGGGTAGGCTCAATCTCTGAGCTGTTAACTCTGTCCTCAAGCCCTACCCATCTGCTCCTATTACTTTCATGGGCTTGGTTCAAACAGACTAACCCTCTGGGTTTTCCGTGGATACCTGATCACGTAGAGAATCTGGCTCCCACTCACCTTTTCTGACTTATTCTCTCGATGCTCCCTGTCACACACTCAACATTCCAGCCAAACTGACTTGCTTATGGCTCCCTTGCACAACACTCTCTGTGCTTTTGCATTGGATGTCTCTCATGCCCAGAACACTCTCCATCTCCATCATCTCTTCAAGCCCCTAATCTCCTTCCAAGTTCAGTTCAAGTGCCGCCTCTTATAGAGACCTCATCTCGTTCTTCTATTTGTATTGGACAAGTAAAGTTTGGAACTTCTGCCATGGGTGGATCCATTCTAGGCTTGAAGCAATTTTAGAAAATCAAATACCTAAATTAACACAACAAATAATAGAGAATTTAAGCAACCCAATTTCAGAGAAAGACTTTGAACAAGCCACAAATGAGCTTCCAAAGCGGGGAAAAAACCTTCCAGGACCAGATAGATTAAAAGAATTCTACCAAGCATTCTAAGAATAATTAATCCCAATATTACATAAATTATTTGCAAAAATAGCAAAAGAAGGGATCTTACCAAATTCCTTCTATGACAAAGATATGGTTTGGATATATAAACCAGGAAGAATCAAGACAGAGAAAGAAAACTTTAAATTAATATCTAATGAACACAGATGCAAAAATTTTTTTAAAAAATGAGCAAAGAGTCTTTAACAACATGTCAGGGTTGATTTAATATTAGAAAAAACTATAAAATTAATTAACCATATTATGCAACTAATTGGTGCAATGGACAGAGTGCTGGATCTGGATTTAGGAAGACCTGAGCCTGAGTTCAAATCCTACCCAGACACTTACTAGCTTTGTGACCCTAGGCAAGCTGCTTAACCTCTGTCGGCTTCAGTTTTATCATCTGTAAAGTGGGGATAATAAAAGCATCTACCCCTTAGGGCTGTTGTAAGGATAAAATTAGACAATATTTGTAAAGTGGTTTGCAAACCTTAAAGCACTACACAAATGCCAGTTATTATTATTGCCACATTAATAATAAAATAAACAAAATCATGTATTTAAAGCATTGTATAAATGCTACCAAAGTCCTTGGGTAGCTAGATGGTGCAGTGGTTAGAATGCTGGGTCTGGAGTCAGGAAGACCTCAGGAAGTCTGGCCTCAGACACTTCCTAGCTGTGTGACCCTAGGCAAGTCATTTAACCCTGTTTGCCTCAGTTTCCTCATCTGTAAAATGAGCTGGAGAAGGAAATGGCAAACCACTCCAAGTGCCTTTGCCAAGAAAACCCCAAATGGGGTCATGAAGAGTTGGATATGACTGAACAATAACTGAACAATAACAGATTGTTTCCTTGGAACCTGAGGCACAGACAGGTTAAATAGCTTACTCCCTGTCACGGGGGTGGCTCTTGGATTTGAACTCATGGCTTGGAATTCTAGATTCAGCACTCAATTCTTTGCAGCATGCATGGTTGGACTCGCAGCTCT